ATTTTTAAAAAGTATTTGAATGTTGCAACACAAATAATGGGATATTATCATAGAACAAAAAGGTTTATAGAATTAAAAAAAAATCTATTTCAATAAAAAAATATGGGACCGCTTTTTTTTTTCAATTTTTTAAATAAAGTGTGCTTTACAAATACACGTCTGGCTTCCCTTAGTATTCATTTCTACTCCCTGTGCCCTAGAGAAATTTCACTTTAAAAACAATAATAACGACATTGATGAAACTCTACATATACAGAAGAATATTTAGACAAATTACATACTTTGACATAATCTTAACTGAACATACCATAATGAAAAAAAAAATTATTTTGACAAAAAATAGGAAAATATCAATTCAAGCATTGTTCGTTTAACCCGTTAGGAATAGTCACCCTATTGATAGCGGGTAATTATGCGTTCAGCCGAAGATTTTAGTGCTCGTCAATAGTTTATTGTATTGATACGGTAAGGCAGGAGTTTCTGAAGTTCATAATGTTTGAAAAAATTAAAAATAATCAGGTCACGATTACGTACTAGAATCAAATTTAGAATCAAAATTCTGCATATGCTCTGTTATTATGTCCGTCGTCTATAAAATGATACCGTATATTTACATATTTTCGTATAATATGGCGTTGGGGAAATTGAATCCTGGAAGCGTGCATGAGCTTTTTTCCTTCGAAATTTTATACTAAAACCGCTGTTTAACATTTGGGATTGACAAAGTTAACATTAACAGGTCAAGTTCACATTAAGTGTACGGATGGCTGGAGAGAAATAAATCTGAAACTTTCTACAGTCACGTCAAATAAGAGTTTGTAACTCTAATAGCGTAATTTAAATATGTTATTCATGAAATAAGTTTTTCCCGAGACAGGGAAACTCGCCCAACCGCCGCCGAGTTGGAATTGAAAGACAAAGGCAAAGATGGAAATTATTCAAGTTTCATTCTCAAAGGTATTTCTGTCTGAGTCATGGAAAACGATGTAAGAAATATGTGCATTTTTAAACTGTGGGAGGGTTACGCAACTGTTTCACGAATGGGCAGGTCGGACCGGCCAAATACCACGATATACAAGACCGGCGTGTAGGAGAAGTGTTACACTTCTGCGTTCCGTCTGGTGAGTAAGGTAACTGAGTCCCATTTTATTCAATAGGTCGCAACGCATCTGCAACCCTACGGGTGTTGCAAATGTCCATGGGCGACGGTTATCACTTGACATCAGGTGAACCGCCAGCTCGTTTGCCACTTTCTCACATAAAAATAGACTCATCTTACTTCTGTTTTATTTATGTTTTACATATTTCTATTCTACATTGTGTGTACAATGACAGTTCTAACATCTGTTGGAATTTAGGTATTATGGCTTAGTTAATTCCGATTAGATTTTGAATTTATTTGGTTCGCTGAATGATGTGGTAGCCTGTTTTATTTATAAGGCCCGCTGTGTTTAATTTGGTATCTCATAAGCTAAGTAACAAAGCAACCAGTATTAACAGGAAGCGGAAGTGCTGTGACTTGACAAAGGCCTTATTCCAGCAGTATACTGGTATAGGTTAATGATGGAAGCTTTAGAATATACTATTTATGTTTACATATGTAAAGATAGATAGTAAGTAGCAGATAGATAGATAGATTACGTTACAAAAATCTGATATGATCACTTCAAAAGAGTTAAACGTACTTTAAAAAAAGACAGGGCGTAAACCTTGTTTTTCTGTTTATTTTTACAAATGATTATGACATCGCCGTTTATTAAGCAAATGTAACGAAAAATAATCCGATATAAGCGAGAACAATAGCAATTTATTAACGTCACTAAACAACCGGATTATGTATGGTTAAATCAATCCATTTTCAATCATGCCGTAATTTATTCGGGTAGAGGGTTCTCTATGCTAACATATCAGCGACACGCCTGGGACTAAATAATTCCGCACAACTTTTCCCCGAAGGTCGAAGGAATCTATTTTCTCATTCCATTATCGACGGTCTAAGAACCTGGCTGAAACAGTATGCGACCCGGTTACTTATTTCGGTCCCTCGCTGACATTTAAAAGACAACACTTATAGGTCTAACAAAGTATTTGAAACAAGCTTCGCTGAGAATATTTTTTTCTTTTTTTTTTAAAAACCCTTGACCTTACTTTAGTGAGCCGTGATAGCTCAGTGTCCGGGCGCTCGCCTTTAATTCAATATATACTCGAGCAACCTGAGTTCGATCCCCGGTGCCGGCACCAATGGAGTTTTTTAACTTTAAGTGCTGAATTATGCACGTGCTCCGCGGTGAAGGAAAACATCGTGAGGAAACCTGCATGTTTTCGAAATAATAACAAAAAAAATGTATTTCGAAAATATGTGAAGTCCGCCAATCCGCAGTGGACTATGCCCTGATACCCTCTGTATAGAGGAGGCCTTTGCCCAGCAGTGGGACATGTATAGGCTGTTACTTTACTTTACTTTAGTATAACATCATCCGTTTTAAGGATGTTTTACAAACGTCAATTCACGTAGACAAACACCTAGACTATCGACAATCTGTGGGTCACACAAATAGTTGTCCCGTGTGGGAATGAACCCACGACCCCCGACGACCAAGCCAATGGCGCAGTTGCCGAGGTTCGTCATGGAGTCATAAAAGCATATTGAACGTAATTATAATATAGATAACAAAAAAGTTATAAATAAAAGTAACGAACGGCTCTATATCTGCTTTAATAGATTTCGTCGTAAAATGTCACTGCATTGTAAAATTATTTACTGTTTGGTTATTTCTAATAACAGTGAAAACATAATTTAATCATTTGATACTGTACACATAAAAAACGCTAATCGCTAATAATTAATTCATTACTGAGTTGAACCGTGCCAACTTTTTAAACAGTGGCTTAATCAGTTTCCGAATTGTACTATTATAATGTGTTAATAAGTATTTATCAATAAAAGGCATCTTAGTTATGAAGAATGACATTTTTAAAAAATTGTAGAAAAACGTACGAAAAGTTTTTCGCCGCTGTGGGAATCGATTCACATCTTCGGGATTCGCGCCCTGACGCTTTAACCACTAAGCTGATTGCCACGCCGCCGAAATCTCAACATATTTTATCTACATTGTTTTTTAGCATTTGAAGCAATGCTTTGCCCGTCCATTGTGACAAAAAACTTGTTTTGTCACTGTGAGAACGTCAACTTAATGTTTTTATACAAATTTTAACGTGCTCAATTATCTGATGAAATTCACATTTTAAGTTTTTCAGTCTACTTCGCTTTCTTTCATGTTGTCAATAGATTAACAATACCCATTACACATTGCTTATAAGAAAATTTTAAACAACCTTTTTTTATAAAAACATCATCTAACTACCTGACAATTCTTTGTTAAAACATAAGCTTTAAAATGGTGTCTGAATCATTAAATTTGATTAACATTTATGAAAGTTACGGCGTACGAACAAAAATATACCTTTTAGAAATACTATAAATATAAATTACGAGTTTGAAAAATACTAGTATGAATATAAAGTATGTACGTATGTATACATACTTTATATTACATACTTTATATTTCTAATTAATACACTTAATCATTATTAGCAATGGGCTTCATATGACGATAAATTAATTACTAGGATAGAAGTTCAGTTGATTGATGGATTATCTGAATGCTCATTAAATATGAATTGAAAGCTGCAATTACTTGAGCTTTGCTTACAATCTGACATAGTTAAAGTAAACTATAATATAGAACCTCTTGCAGAAAATATGAAAACAGTATATAATTGTATTGATACGGGAGTAATATTTTTACAGGAGTACTCATTTATAAAATCTAGTTAAATCAAACCTATTCATTATGTTATACTGTAAATTATTAGTACTAATAATTTACAGTATAACTAAAAATAAACAGAAACATCAATTTGTGCAAAATCTTAAAAAATAACTTGTCTACAAATTCGACCTATATAAAGGGTTGGAATGAATCAAGTGCAAAACATGTTGCACGAGAATCGGGAGGTTCAGAAACTTTGCACTCGATAGATTTAACGGAAGACAAGAAACAACTTCGTGACAAGTAGTACCGCAAAATGATAAAAATTTTCAATTGAGGACAGATATGGGCTATCTGTAACGTAGATAACGAAACCTAGATACACCTGAGAGAAAAAGCCAATTATCAGAATGTGTGTTTTCTTTTGAAGCCTTACCAATGAGAGTTCAGAAAAGCTGGAGCACGGGAAAGAAAATGGTCACTTTTCAATTCGGCAAATCAGGACATTAGATTACAGTATCACTTGAAAACTAAAGGACAGTGACTGCAAGTTGGTACGTCAACAATTGCCCACAGTGTTCAAAGTCGAAAGTTTGCGAACGCTGGGGCGACGAACGTATTTGAAGGCTTCGAATGTGGAACTAATGACTAATCTGCCATGCAACCCGGACCTATCATTTCGAAACTTCTTTTTATTTCCGAAAGTTAAAGAGAAAAAATTAATGCTAAGATATTTATTATTTACATGCCTGGAAACAGCGTAGAATTCATTCCACGAAACCAACGAAGAGCTCTCTACTGAACTCTGGATCCGCTTTTTCGCACAATCAATGGTTTCAAATTGTGCAATAACGTGGAATTATTAGTAGAGGGCATATAATTCGACAAACAATAAATGTCCCATGAATATGCTATACTAGAATAGACTCGGTGTGGCAGTCGTGTATCGATTCTCATATGGAATATATAATTGTGTGACCAAAAGATAATTCTAGTGTTTAAGATAGTTCCGGATCTGAGTGTTTATCCCCAAGTAAGATATTAACACTTTTTTCACACCGCCAGGTTAACAACATGATTCACATGATGTACCGAGCCCACCTAGATGGGATAAGTGCTGGAGAAAGAAGTCTCATAAGCATAATATGGGGTTCTATTTATGAAAATTCATAATCTTTCATTATTACCCAATTCCAATTGTTATTTACTATTAATATATCAGCTTACCTGAGTTTTGGGCCAATGGTGCGGTGTAGACTTCGATGCCGAGAAGAAGTAATGTAAACAGAAAATGCAACAATTTCGGAGCCATTTTCGCTGCTTTACCTGAAAACGAAACAATTTTGTAAATTCGGGTAAAAATATCATCATATCGTAAAACATTAACGCTTGACCAACGAATGTATATTATATCTTTTATAAGATGTCGAGGTCGTACGAATGTAATAAAATTTTCAAAGGCATAAGTTATATACTCGCTATTCATTTGTCGCGCAAAGAAACTCCGAGCATAGCTCTCTCCAAAGCTCGTTGTGTGACTCTAAGCTTCTCTAATAGGAAGAAAAAGAAATAGAAGTGACAAAATCTGGAATGAGGAAATTCGCCGAAGAACTGGAGTCACCGACATAGCTCTCCGGATCTGCAAGTTGAAGTGGCAGTGGGCAGACCACATCGCTCGAAGAACTGATGACCAATAGAGAGTAAATGTTCTCGAGTGGCGACCACGAACCGAAAGACGTAGCGTTGGAAGGGCTCCGTCTAGGTGGACCGACGACATCATAAGAGTCGCGGACAACCGGTGGATGCAAATGGCAAAGTGTCGTTCGTTGTGGCGTTCCAAGGGTGAGGGCTATGTTCAACAGTGGACGTCTTGCGGCTGATGACGATGATGATGATGATGATATTCATTTGATTAAAGCATAATGATCTCGTTAAAAAAAGAAATTTAATGTCAATGGTCAAGATAGGTTGTACTAGCACAGAATGTGACTATGTGCTGTGTCACTGATTAATCGACTGCTCAATTTCGTTGATTTGTCACGTTTCAAACATTTTCGGCTTTATTTGTTTCTACTCTTTTATTTATTTCTGTCTAAATGTTTAACGAAGTGCCTTTATTATGAAAGCTTATAAAGAAAAAAAGGACTCATTCGATGTTCACTTATTTTACTTTCGAAGTTGTACTTCTTATGGCGCGTACACACACTTTTTTAAAGATGGAAGACTATTTAACAAAATATAACTTTTAAGTTGACGATTACGACAGCAATATTAAAAAAATGTTGATAATTATGGGAGTGACGCGATGACATCGCCTAAAGGGAATCCTTTGAAGGGTCGTCGCATACGTTATAAATAAACAGAAGAACAGTGACTTATTGATCAGACATTATTGGTCAGATTATACCATGGTGTGGTGGAAATGTTGGTTTACTCAAATTAATTATAGTTTAATTGATTCCAATAACAATGTATGCAAACAAAATTATTGTATTTTATTTTATTATTACAAATACACGTAAAGTAAAAAAAGTTAAGCAACATGCCTATATGTGTCCCACTACTGGGCAAAGATCTCCTCTATACAGATGATATTAGGCCATAAGCCACCACACAATTCCACTGCGGACATCAAATATCTTCGAAATATTTTTATATTATTATTAATTCGAAAGTATACAGTTATTCACGATGTTAACCTACAACGCTTAGCACACGATAAGTCAGCACTCAAAAATCATTAACATTTGCATTGGTGCCGACACCGGCGTTTGAAGTCAAGTTGCATATTGAATTAAAAACGAGCGTCTGAGCACCGAGCTACAAATCAATTTAGTATCTGGAATTCAATTTGCCTAACCGCAAAATCATACCAGCAGGCGTGAGATAACAGACAGACATATAAATACTAACAATTATAAACTCTGCCTTTCTATAACGTGCCATTCTCATTTGATGTAAATAGAAACAAAAAGTTTAATGTCTTAAAATTTAAAAAAAAGAAGTTTAAATTTCAAGTCTGCGCGCGAATTTCCACAGAAAAAGATTTACCTAAGGGAGGTTTAGAACTAATTGTATCAAGCGCCCTTTTGTAAAAAAAAAAACAGCTAAGTGCGGGTTGGACTCTTGCTCGAAGGGTTACGCACCATAATCTATTGGAACAGAAAAAAAATCATGTCTGTTGTATGGGAACTTAAATATTTTTGTTCTGTTTTTTTTAATATTTGTTGTATAGCGACAAAAGAAATGCATCACCCGTGAAAAATTTCAACTGTGAAACTGTCACGGTTCATGGGATACAGTCTGGTGACAGACGGACAGATAGACAGACAGCGTAGTCTTAATAATAGGGTCCCGTTTTAACCTTTGGATACGGAACGCGAAATATAACACAGATAACGGACAAATTGAATTCACCTCGCAAGGGAAACCAGTACGATAGGGAAATCCGACGACGGATGGGGGATACCTTAAAAGTGAGCACCCAACTATCGATTACGCCGACACTGTTTCTTCGCAAACTGGGATTCGCAACAGTGTGCCTTTAACAATGTTTACTCTCAAAGCAAAGTTTTAAAACTCTTCTACCCTTCGGCGTTACTTACACCAGCTAATGAGCTCCTTAAACTACCTAACGTTGTTAAATAAAACTATATATAGTCCGTGATATAGTTAAACACTTATTTCGTCAACACACACTTCATTCGTCTAAAACACTTATTTCGTCTCATCGACTCTATGGCGTTCAAAGCAGATTCGGGAATTTGGTATATAATAAAATCCTAAAATTGTTTTTTTACAATTAATGCAAATACCGCAAAATAAATTATGTATATTTGGAAGGATGGCGCAATAATTCAGGGGGACATCATGATATTTCTTGTGATATTGTGGGATGGATTCACATAAATTTTCGTGTAATCATCTATAAATCGTTGTTCCTGGTCTGGGTGTACTTTATGTTCGTAATGTTTCATGTTTATTAAACCTCCTGGAACAGAGGTTTAATTTCCTAGTGAGCTGAATAGATTTTTAGTTAATTTTACATACGATTATTAATATGCACTGGTTAACAGCATACACTATATACAATTATATAGAGTATATGATAATCAAATAAAGCAATATTGCAGCAACACACATCTTCCATTTTTGTCGAAACAGTTCCTAGTAGTAAATAAGCGCTTAATCTTACAATAAACAAACTCTTCTTCTGGATTCTTCGAACATACTGAAGTAAAACTCGCCGAAGACTAATTTACTGCTGACACATCAAATTTTCACCCGACATATATCATTGATAACTTGCGGCTTATAATAATAATTATCGTACAGTAATTTTTCGATATTGTAACAGACTTTCCGTTTCCCCGATTACTTACGAAAAAGCCCTGCCGCATTTTTGCCTAGTCACGGGTATCACCTGTTACTATTCAGCGTTAATCTCGGTCAACCGCAAAGAGCACGGGCCACTGCATAACTCATCGACGTGAAATAAGTGAGTGCTTATAGGGTATTCATTTTATTTAAACTTTACGAACAAAAAATGGAAAAGGTATTTTCTGTCAGCAAAGCAAAGTTGAGAAATTGCACAAATAAAATTTTTAATAAAAAAATAGACATGTTACGTACGTTATTACGTGTGGCAATATTTTCATTACAGCTTGACAGAAAACGAGACATGCTGATGACATGACATTCGGCTTGATTGTGAAACAAACGAAATATACAGCGGAGAGTCAAAAAGAATCCGACAATCCATTCATAAAATCCTCTTCACAATACTTTTAATCTGAAGCACCTAATCTCGAGCGCACAAAGGAAGATTTTTTCTCTCTCACCATGCGAGCGCTTACCCGCCGGTGTCAGAGAACGCAGTCGATGTTTGGGGTTCCGAGGGAAGCGGAGTTAGGCGGGGGAGGGGGGTCTGCAAGAATTGGGTCATCAGAGTACTAGTGCCCGGAAACCTACAAACGTGAAGTGGGATCCTAACTGGGCTGAGAACGATAAATTGAGTAACTAAAATTAAAACTTAGGTACTCCTTTTGTTTTTCTGACTTATTTTTTTTTGTATAAATAAAATATTTGGAGACAGCTTTCTACACATCGCTCTCTATTCCCAATTAAGCGTCGCTTGTATTATGGGTACTACATAACTGATAAACATACTTAGACATACTTTTCTTTTTGCAAATAAAACTATGTTTATCACACGATATTTTGCCAGTAGTGGGGATCACACCATTAGGCGCAAGAAACAGGTCCTCTATCCACTACGCCAATTGGGTCACAGTGTTTTTAATTTGCCAGGCAGTGTTTAACCTTTAGGCTTTACGCTTTATCCTAGCACCATTATATCAGAACCAAAATAATGAATATTAACTGAAGCGAGTAGATAGAAGGTGTGACAAAAGATGCATCGACCATTACTTTTGATAATTATTTACATCAGTACCTATTAAGCTTGACACTCCTTACAAAATATTGGAGTAATTCGAGTTCCAGACAACTGCATATAACCTAAAGAGAATCATAAGTATTTTTTTATCTTACGTTGTAAGAATGTTTGTTTTTGAAACCTATGCAGACTTTTGCATAGTATCAGCGGTCAAATTGACGTTTCTGTGGTAATTTCTAGGTATAAGTCATAATTGAATAATTAAATTATACTTCAAATATGTAGGTAATATAGTTGTAGTTGTAGTTATTAGTAGTCAATATAGGTTAGTTTTTTCGATAAATTATTATACTTTATGCATGTTGTGTTTATCTTCAAGTTATACGAGAGCCTTAAATATAATTTTGGAAATACAAAAAGAGAAAAAACAAAAGTTTGAAAGTGAGTCGTTCATTACCACAGCTTAGTTATTAAACTGGACGAAATTGTTTCTTCCTCACAAAGATCCTATTATTTACAGAGTCTACCAACGAACATCGTAATAATTACGAGCGTCCGCGCTTTATATTTGGGTCAATAGGTTTTAATTACTAGAGGAAATAATGAACCAATTTTGAAGTTTGACATATTTACGTATGAAATTTTATCAATTTCTAGCGAAAAACCTATATAAGAATTTTCATAAATTAATCCAAAGAAGTTTGTGAGTTTTCATGCAAACCAACTAGGCATCCATGAAATCTATTCAAGAAAATTAGATTGGAATAGACTAGAAACATCAAATATAGAAACCCAATGGGTTCTTTTAAACCTCTAAATGATAAAAGATAATTTAAAATAACATTATTAATATACAGCGGTCAAAGGTATACACTATATACAATTAGTATAGAGGTTTAGAAGCATTTTTACCT